CTGCAGTTGACACTGATGGGGTGTAGTAGAGGTTTACGACTGGTACATACATAGGTACATTTATAACTACTACCTACATACATACACACATATATACAAACATAATAAAGTTTAAACTATATTCTCAAAATCCTCAAAACTATCTGACCTGGATGAAGCTGGAGAAACTTCTTAAACATCATTTATTTTCCAGTGACATGTGATGGGAGGTGAACGAATCAGAAACTATGGATGTACTATATATGTTTTATACATGAAGTATCTGCCATAGTGGAGGCAAGATATGGGCACGAAATGTTATGGAAGACTATCACTCACACAGGGGTGAGGGGGCAGAGAGAGAGAGAGAGAGAGAGAATTAAGCAATGAGGTTCTTTAGGAGCAGGTTTTGGGGGCCCCAACATGGTGCCCCCGTGGACTAGCTAAGGAGCCTGTGGGGTGTCTTCTAAAAATTGTACTGTTACTGTGCTTTTTGAATCAGTTCCACTGTGCAGTGATATTCAGACCATGGTAAGAAGAGTGTCTGTTATTGTCTGTCCCAGAAGTGATTATTATTACATTGTTCAGGACGTCTGTTGTATTGAACAAGTAGCTCTCTGTTATAATAAGTGCCCTTGAAGTAGCTCTCGGTTTCAAAAAGGTTGGTGACCCCTGCTGTAAGGCAACACCGACAGCATCAACCACCCTGCCACTATGTATGCCTCTTTATTACAAAATATAAGTATTAAGTAAAAAAAGTGTTGTCTAAAAAGTAGAGGAGAACTGTGAACTGTGAAGTCCACAGCAGCACGAAGGGAAATCAACAAATTTGTGTTCAGTCAGGTGACGGTGTTTCCTGTGTTTGCACAGTTTTTGTAAACGTTTGAACATAATCACTCTTTGTTTGCTCACACAGACACCTGCACGAGTCATAGCAAGTCACAGTTGGATTTCACTCGCGCTCAAAGGAAACCTCTGTTATCAACAGTGAACAAAAAAAAAAAAAAAAATGGAAATCATGTGATCGCTCTCCAAAGTCACAGCACGGCTCATTGATTGCAGTTTTTATGAAAAGACGAATGATTTTTAAAGGTCTACCTGAGAATACAGGCTGAAGTGTAAGGTTTTTGTCAGGGTTGGTACTGTAACGGTGCAAAAACAGGAGAGGTACGAGACAGAAGGAAGGAAGAAGGAGAATCAACCCTGCACACATCCCTGGGATTGAAATACATCATTCATCACCAGTGTCAGGTTTTTAATACATGAAAATCATTTCTGTTCTCTTTACCCTTCCTTAATATCGCATCAATTACTCCCCCCTCCTGATCTTCATCCCCGAGTCCTCAGTGCACCTCCTCCTTCTCTTCCCTGCTCCCCTCACTCGTCTCATAGCATCCTCACCCCTCAGCATTTAGTGATTAATGTGATTTTTAATTGTCATGCTCACTTTTATGCTCATTAAAGTGTATTATGCAGCAGTTAGGGTATTAAAGTTCAGTGAGAAATTTCATGCATACTGATGTGAATGCAAATGAGCCCAGCGTGAAAGCATATACCATGGTTTGTGTTGTCCATGTCTGTGTGTGTGTGTGTGTGTGCGTGTGATTATCCCCAGGAGTGAATGTCGAGCGTCATTATCACCCACATTAGCCATCTCAGCAGAGCAGGGAGAGACCATCCATAGAAATCATGGTAATGTGGGTCTTAAAAGCGTTTCTTTAGGCCTGAATCCGTGAATTGTGTGAAACGTACTGTGAGCTGTGGGTCACATGGTTTGTGATTATTTGGTAAAGATATTGGCTGCAGCCAGCTGCAATGCTGAAGAGGATTAGCAGGTAAAAGATGAAAAAAAAACCCAAACCCTAGTGCATTGTGTCGGCTTGTCCCAGTACAGTTTTCTTTATGAGTACGAGTATTTCAGTTGAGTACTCACCAATATCTGTATTCTGAGTCAAAATGACTCAAAAAATAAATAAAACTAAGGATTACATTTTTAACACAGTGAACTGACCAGAAAGTGTGCAGAGCTTTTACAGCTTTTTCATTTCAATGGAATAAACTCCTGCTCCTGATTTCCACTGAACGAAGAGTAAGTTAAGATGGACGGCACTATTTCTATGTACTGTACTTGTTCATGTTTTGCCACGTGTCAAATTGCACAATAAAGATAAGCAGTCTAGAAATCTCTTATCAACTTTGGTTCATTCAGGAGTTGTTCATTAGTCGCTCATGTCTCTGTGAAACATGTTGTTGGTCTAGCATTCCTATCGATACAAGAATTAGCATGCTAGCTATGGTAAATGCTATCTTTTGTACCCTTCGCAGAGGCAGTGGGATTGTGCCCCCTGTGGCTACAATCTACGCCCCCTCTACAAAGATCTTTGTTTTACTGTTAGCTGGAAATTGTGACCCCTAATGGTGCAAGGTTGAGTCCAAATCACATAAAAGTTTGACTGTCTCACAGGTTATATAACATTATAAAAAGTCACTTTTTAACATTGGGATTGGTTGGTTTATCCAACTTTATGGTAAATGAGTTTAAATCAAGCTGACAAACAGGACATTTCCAGTTTGGTCCATTTAAGGCACACTCCTGACGATCAGGATACAACGAACACGCTGCTAAAGCGAAGAAAAGGCCCATTAGCACTACCCCATATGGATATTACATCTGATGCAACTAAAATGGAATACTTATCAATGTGGCTCTTTGTTCAAGCCGACACCGTCTTTGTGGTTGTCCGTCGAGCTCGGCCCACCTACAGTCAGCACCACGCTGTGCCAATAGTCTGCATCATTATTTTGTCCTTCTGCCTCGCTGTCTGCTGGTTAAAATAAGACAATAGTAAAGGTTTTTAACCAGCGGCCTGAATCATTTACACAGCATGGAGCAAGGCAGCTGATGACGTTGTCCTGAAGCAGCAGCATGAGGCTCTGTTACCTGATAGGAATGTGAAGACAGACAGATTAAGTCATTACAGAGACAAACAGTGTATTTATACATACATGTGTTGAACATCAGGTGTGAGAAGTCTGTTGGTGCTGATGGAGAGGATATTACCTTTCAATATGACGACGGGCTACAAGATAGTGTTTGTTTCTATTTTATTATTATATCATTCAGTACCAACAGCAGCACAGAGTAGAAGATGAACCAGTCACAGACCAAGGATACAGAATATCAACAACACTATAGAAACATTGATTTGAACTGGACCAGGTGGTATCGAACCCAAAGCCCTCTGGTGGCAGGTTGAGGTCATACAAATGCAACTTAAAAACCAAGCACTGACATCATTAACCAGGTCCATCCGGAACAAAACAGTAGAATTTGGTACTTTTAAATACTTTAAATATTATGACTAAGGTGTTTTTCCTAATAGAAAACATTGTATAGAATATGATCACAATTAAAAAACAAAGACGCTGCAGTGCGTGTACTATATATATATATAAGCAGGTTGTTTATATCTTAGCATAGGTTCTTTTCATTGACATTTTGCTAACACTATCTTTCTTAATGAGTTTAGCATAAAGCAGGTTGTTTATATCTTAGCATAAGTTCTTTTCATTGACATTTTGCTAACACATACTAAATGTTGTTAGTGGCTTACTGGTTAAGGAAGTGGACTTGGGTCCAGAAGGCTTGAGGTTTGAGTCCACCAGCTGTCTAGTTACCACTGAGGTGCTCTGTCATGGCACTGTCCACTGTTCACGATGGTGATGGGTTAAAAGCAGAAGTCACAGTTGGTTGTGTGCAGTGGTGAGCTGTGTCACAATGACAAGGAGTTCACTTTCCTCCTTTGTTCAAAAGTATTGAATGTTTTACAATTAATTCTAGTAGGCAATACAAGTTACTTCATGGGAATTTATTTGACACGTGGAAAGAGAGTGAAATATATTAGGAGTGATCCCTATTATTGACTGAGTATCTATGAAAACAATACAACTTTAACTATAATGGTCACTGTTACTCTTATTGAGACAAAGATTCAGTGTCCACACCAGTTCTGTCTTGTTGGACTCCAGGTGGAAACAAACGTGGAGAGGACACCTGATAAAACAGAAATCTACAGTTTGGCCCCTGAAGGCAACTATGCAAAAACAAGGCCATTGTCTATAGTCTGTTGTCTATAGTCTGTTGTCTATGGTCTGTTGTCTATAGTCTACCTCTAGTTGTCCTGAGGGAACTCCTCTGCTCTAAAGAATCAATGACATCCTGCTTTTGTCATCTTTTGCAACACTGGAGCTATTACAGTTACCGTTTGTGAAAGATGAATCACAGGGTGGAGCGATGAGACGGCTACGTTATCAAACCACAGGAAGTGTTCAAACGTAAACGTCCAGTTCCTCCTACTGAAGCCTCAGTTCACAACTCAACAGTATTTCAAATTCACAATAATCATATATTTTATACAACACATGTATGTCATTTAGGCTTTTTTGTGGGGTAAAATAAAGCATTGAGATTGTAACATGGAATTATTATTATATATTATTTTTTAAATAAATTGATGATGGTATGTGTCTGGGGTTTTTCCAGGTTCTACAGTTTACCCTTACGGTCTAAAAGCACTCAGATCATGTGAATTAGAGCCTCTTATTTGACCACAGGTATGACAATGAGGAGGAACGGTTCCCTGTCTGTGTCCAGGTCGTTATGTGCCCTCACCTGATGACTGCTGTGATTGGCTAGAACGGTAAAAACTACGTAGTATAAGAATGTTGTGAAATAATGAATGGATTAAAGTATGAAACGAAGGCTAATGTTTATGACACATAACACCATAATGTATTTTTCAATATGCCCTTAGCCAATGTCTCTGTATGTCTTCCAGCGTGACCGCTCAACACACACTAGTAACGTCAGGTAAAGCGAGCTAAATTTCTACTTCAATTTGTGTGATTTTGAGGATTATTTTACACCGAATGTACTTCGTCGAATGTACCTCGCCGTAAACACAGGCATCATTGTTTTCATTTTCCTCCGCCTGTCCTGGCCAGTGTTGACACAAACGAGCTTGTTTTTACAGAACTAAAATTAAAATGAACAGTTAAAAAACAATTTGGACCTTTACTGTTTGACATGCTCTGTTGGTTAATGGCCAATATTCTGTTTGTGATCGTGTGTAACCTCGTGTTCGGAGTCGCTCTTTGTTTGAACGTATTCATGCACACAGATCGTACATCGTGTTGCGCTTGCGTTGTGTTCCAGATAAGGAACACATTCACATTCCAGCGGAACCTGAACGTCACACAAGGCGGAGACGCATTCACTTCACCCTCCCCCAAAACCACGAGGCTCCGGTGTTGACAGGCAAATCACCGCCCCCCAGGCACTCAGCCCTCACTCTTCACCCGGACTCCACTACTCAACCACGGAACACGGACAAAGCCTCCTGCCTTCAGTTCCGCGATCCGTACAGCTGCTGGCAGAGGAGTAGCTCGTTATCTCAACCACCGACCCCCTTGGCGGGTTTGCCTCTCAAATGTTGCCCACAAAGGATTAAGAGCCGTGCGGGAATTGTGCCCTGGTGGAGCAATAATTGGACAGACCCCGCCTTCTCTTCATTTGTCAACAAAGGGGTTTGACAGGCTGGGAGAAGCCCTGCCTCCATGTTTCCATAAAAGGATCATTTGGCCATACACGGCCAGCAACTAAGCCGTGGCTAACCGTCTTTCCTTGAATTCGCGTTCATATAGTGCGTTGACTTCTCGGGTCGGCGTATAAGCGGAGTTATCATGGCGGAGCGCGGACAGCTGCCCCCGGCCAAGCGGCTCTGTTGTCGACCGGGCTATAGCGGGACATGCAGGCAAGGTCAGCGGGCCGCTTGGACTTCGTGCGGCGGCTCAGGGGCCGCTCAGGGGGAGTCGAGCAAAACCCAGAGTCCGGAGTCTCTATTGGACATCGCGGCGAGAAAAGTCGCAGAGAAGTGGCCGTTCCAGAGAGTAGAGGAGCGATTCGAGAGGATCCCCGAGCCCGTTCAGCGACGGATAGTATACTGGTCTTTCCCAAGGAGCGAACGGGAGATTTGTATGTATTCATCGTTCAACACAGGTGGAGAGGAGATCGCTTGTAGCGGGGAGAGCGGCGACGACACGCGGCTGCCGTTCCGACGGGGCATCAGTCTGCTGGAGAGCGGCTGCGTGGAAAACGTACTGCAAGTCGGTGAGTGATGTGACGGGACCTGACACATTGAGCACAAATAAGTACCGCACACTGCGACCGATCACTGCGCAAACGGCTACGTGAGCCGGAATAAACATCCGTAAAAGTGGAGCAGCAGAGTAACGCGGGCTGATAAAGTAACACGCTCTGACAACAAAGGGTGACAGACAGACACGGAGGGGGCACAATGGGGCTTTAAATCTGCAGCCTCCATGAATGGCACTGTGTGACCGGGGCATTTAAATCCTGTTTGGCTGGGGGCATTCTGAATGTGAAATGCGAGGGTTGCTGCAAATCCGCTAATTGCGTTTAAAATCAAGCCTTAACAAAGCAACAGTCTCCCCCATCACCACAACACAGAGAGGGAGGTTTAGGGAATGGAGATGAATAACTCACCACCACCACTGCTGCTGCTGCTGCTGCTTTACAGACACATTAGAAATGCGTAAATGTCAGGGGACGACCGGCTAGAACACAACAGGATACGTCTTCACGAGCTACCCCCAATGTTCGATTGGGTGAAAATATTCTTAAGTTCGTTTTCTCTGACCCTTCAGCCACACTCAGACGATAGTGTCGAATGATTGTGTGAAGCTGTTGAGTAATAAGGGAAGTAGTCAGTGTTGGGTTGGGTCCCAAATGATACCATTTAGTTTGGAATGAGTTGTTCTGTTCCATAGTTGAACTACTGAATCATAATTATTTGATAGTTTGTCTGACTGCGTGATGACGTTGTGTATTTTGCAACAGAACATAAATGTACATTAGATTAAAGTGTATTAGTCTCACAGGGTTAGGGAATGAATGAAGGGTAAGAAAAAATAGCAATACAAAAACATTTACCGTATCCAGGTAGAATGGACTGTACAGTAAAATGTAGACATTAACGCAAGGTCTTTTAAATGTATTAAATGTATATTAAATTTAGTATAAAATACATGAGAAAGCATTAAACATTTGTACTCTACATTGGCCTTAGTCAAACTGCAGTTATTTTATTATACTATACATTGTTATATGCTGTGTTCAGCCTCACTACTATGTATATATTTTACTGAAGTAAACGTGTTGTTTCCCTATAATATATGTCAGTAGAGTTGGTATTTCTGTTCTAAACCACAGACACTGAAGGTGACGGTGTAAAGGTTTGGGCAACAAAAGTGAGGGGTATTAAGTCATCCTTAGTTATTTAGCAACTGAGCTGGAACACCTATGTGCCGAGTGCATGCTTGCTCATGCCTGAAACCATTTTCGCATTTTTCAAATCAGTGACTCAGCCGCATTGGATTTTAGGTCATTTAATTCCACCTCATCAATTTATATAGGTGGGCTGAGAGGAACAGTTGTCTTTGACATTCAAATCACTCGAAAGCATACATATAAGATACCCAGCGTTCCCTTTGTGAGCTTGGCACTTTGTTCCCATTTTCATGTTCATTTGTGTCGTCTGAGCTTCCTGTTGCTTGCAGAAGGAAAAGGCCCAACAAAAGCGTCTTTTAGAATGGAGGGATTTGAAAGAAGGAAGCATATTGAGCACAGGAGGTTTCTTTTGATAAGGCCAGGATTCACACACACACACACACACACCCCCACACACACACCCACACACACACACACACACACACAGTGTTCGCTTATCAATAATTGAAAAAAGAAAAGTCAAACAATGACAGAAACGATGATAGAATACACCTGGAGGTGAGAGAGAGAGAGAGAAGAAGCAGATGTATTAAGGACATACCTCACTTTAATGAAGACACGCCAGCGTTTCCAGCCTTTATCATTGTGTGGTCAGCCAGGAGTTTCACTCTGAGCTGCCGCAGCAGTCCGTCACCGATGAGCTCAGCAGACACAGGACACCTTTCCAATCCAAGAAGTCTGTAATCCCATTACTCCGCATGCTTCATTTGAATCGTAACTCAATGCAAGCACGGGAGTTTCTGCGTGACTTGACCCGTCTTCCTTCCCCCTTTTTAAAACCCACTAGGTTACTAGTACTTGCTGAAAGTCCACAGGGAATACGCACGATGACACAAATTATCATCTGTCCCGCCAAAGTGGAAAACACATAATTAATACCTATATATACAAAAATGTTTGAGAGGAGACCGAATCGGAGTTGTTCTACAGAACAAAGGGGGCGGGGCTTCCTCACAGAGAGAAATAACAGTACAGCACAGCAAGACGCACACATGGAGAGGTTTTCTTGGCCGATTGCACCGCAACCTGGAATTTACTTGAAACATATTGCCAAGATGGGAAACAAAAAAAGATGTAATCTGCCCACGTGGGCTACTTCTGAGCAGGGAGGTTTGTGTTTTCTCGCAGCTGATTCTGAGGAAATGAGTTGACACACATTTGTGGACAGTCCATAGCAGACGCTGCATCAAAGCACAGATAAAGAGGGCTGGACTTCTTTATTTTATCTTACAGGAGAAATGTTTCAGCATCTGGGGTGGGGACTTGAGGCCTTCTGAATTCCTCTTGGTTGAAGTCAGTGTTTGGAGTATTGTGGCTGTAGTACAGCTGTGAACAAGGGCTTCTTTCACTGACAACAGACTTATATCAAAATTGAAAAACAGCTCTTTACTGTTGGTAAACTTAGAACCCAAAACAGTAACAAAATGTACAAGTTAGAGTACACATCAGTGTAGTAGTTGCCCCCCCCCCCCCCCCCCCCCCAAAAAAAAACAAAGAAAAAAAGTGTTTCCATTCCATGTTATTGGAATCACCCTCTTAATTCTCTTGGTTCTTAATTCTCTGGACAATGGTCTCGGAAGAATCAGGATTGTTAGGTTGTGCTGTTAAAAACGAATGAGTATCAAAATGTAAACAATCATTAGTTTGAATGCTAACACATTAAGATGTCTTTAGTCAAATGCAATTAATGCATATGTCAGCCCAAGTGAGAAAGTAATTAATGTCAGATCATTAAGTGTTGCTATAGTAGCTGTTAGAGGCCTAATTGGTTTTAACCAATAATTGAAAGCAGGTCAGTTTGAAAGTTAAAGCTTGAACCGTCCTTCTTTTTATCCTTTGGAAAGTCTAGTTGGGGTTGTATATATGTATATGTGTATATGTGTATATATATATATATATATATATATATATATTATAGCTGTTATAGCTGTCACTATGTGGCAATTTCTGCACATCATCGTGTTTTTTATTTTCAGGTCAGGAAACCAGGTCAAACAGGTTACTGGGTTTAATTTCTCTCGAGGTCATTCTTAGTCAGAGACTCTGAAGTCTGAGAATCTTCCACCTGACCTGTCGACTGACCATTTAAATCCATGAGATAAAACAAAGTATTGATTAATTAATAAATACATTCAGAATTTCTTGAAAACACGAAGCCAAAAAGCAGTAGTTGTCTCTCCACCATCATGGCGGCTTGACCTCCTTTTAGGCAAACTGATGACATCACTCGTAGCTTCCTATAAAAACTGACTGTGTTTTGACTAAGAATGGCTCAATAGAACCTTTTCATGTCCAATACTGATACTGCTCTGATACTTTCTTTTCCCGCAAAGTTAAGTTGTGCATGTGGGCTTATGTATCGGCTCGTACTGGCAATAGCTGTTTTTGTCATTGTTTAATCCTGAAATATTGAACTCTCCTGAGCATTGGATTGAGCAATGCAGATGACCTAAATTGATTTTTTGGCAATTAATGTTTGTGATTTCTTATTTAAAATTTAAATATGTTCTTGTTTTATGGATCTGCATAAGCATGCTAAACATTTTCCTGACGTGGTCAGTCTCATCTACTCATCTATTCACGTATAAGCACATACTGTACTTTAGGGTTGCTAAGGCTGTCATTAAATATCTTGTGTGTTCGCATGGTGTGATTATTGTTTGAGTTAATCTCTTATGCCAGTTGACACTCTTTTGGAATTGAGAACAGGTTTCAGTTTGTGCTAAAAAATACATTGTGACTCATCGTCAGTAGGTGTCCTTATTCCACCTGAAACACAGAAGCACTGCGTTACACCAACGTGTGTGTTTTACCAAAAACATACAATGGTATCATTAGAAGGCTTGACCCTGCAGATGAAGTGCTCGCCGTCCACGGATTCAGCTGACTAACTGTGAGCTCCATTCAGTGTCAGGGAGAAATGTGGAACACCTGGAGAGTCCTTCAGCGGACTGGAGCTCCGGTTTGACTTTTGGAATATAATCTTTAGCAGCGAGAAAGACGAGAGCGGCCATTACAACAGCCGGTGTCCACGGCTGTGGATGCTGATATGTAGGTTTGAGCTGAAGTATAGACTGCAGTGTTTTTCGTGCGCACTCTGCATGGTTATTTCAGTCGCACAGGCTGCGCCCACGAGTCAAAACAACTTCATAACATAGGGGAAAAGAATCATGGAGGTAAATTATACATAGACCATTGCATTTAGCTGAGAAATACATAGTCTCTATACATAGTGTGTAACATAATAAGCTGTAATACGGTATGTTTGTGACTCCACCCAGCCTGTTATTAGATCACAAGGCACTCGCATGAACTTGACATGAGGTCAAGTTCGTGCTTTTACACATTCAGGACATTTATGACATCATCTGTTGCTTTGTTGTTTTTCAATCTGCTGAATCAGCTAAAAGTCTGTTTAAGACTAAGTTAATGTTCAGAAAGACAGGAACTGCTTCTCTACCTGTTTGAACTTTCTATATGAAACGTTCCTGCTACTAAATGATTAGCAACCCACTTTCTGTTAATCAACACCTGTTATTTAATACTACTTAAATATTATTGTAAAATTCTGACACCACAGCTTTAAGGTACATTTGAAAATTACAGTATCTTAAAAGAACCTGAACAGATTGTTTCACATTAAAAATAGTCTCTTCATTATATAGGGTTGTATTAAACAAGGAATAGAAACAGTAATTAAAAATACATACAGTATAAATAAAAACCGTTTTGGTGGATCATACAGGGTTACACAGGATGTAAATTGCATAAACCAAAACCATAATTTGAACTGAAACAAA